CAACTGCTTCCAATGACTAAACTAGCACTTACCACCTCATCTGTTAATCAGATGAGATTTAGATAGTTAATGGATTACAATCAACTGTAGAGAACTACACCCCACCACTATTAATCCATTAGTTATCTCCAACTAAAAAGAAATAACCCTTTATTTTTACAAAACAAAACTGGGAGGAACAGATGACTTAACCATGTGTTCAGCGTGGGAAGACTAGAGAAAGGTCTGATATCTGAAACACTTAAAACAGAAATTAACCAGTCCAGACAATGATCAATTTGCATATATGACTAAATTACATGCAGCACTTTATGGTCACAAGAGTTAACATGGAAACTGCTGAGCAAGAGACTTTAGGACAGAAGTCTTAGGTCTGAAAGATACCATATTTGGAGGGAGCACGGCACTACCCACTTGATTCAAACCAGTTTGAAAAACAGATAAAATTAATGTAAAACCAAAAGAGACTCGAGCCGGAGGTATCCATTCGCCTTGAGAGCTCACATCTCCTACCACTCTATGGGCACAGAGTAACATACAGATTCTGCCATCAGACTCCATCACAAATAAGTACAATTGACACCCCTGCATGTTGTCACACTCTCAAAAGATAACAGTAGCCAAGAGAAAAATACCAAGTTCCTTGATGTACTACACTGAATGTTGTAGCTCTCATGGCCATGTCAAGAATTACCCATGTTAACACTGCCAGAGTCTCATTTCACTTGTGAAAGGAATTAAAAAGGGAAAATTAATCTCCCACAGCAGTGTAATACAGATTGAAACCAAGCTAAAAGGCATTCAATTTAACAGATGATCAATATCCAGTTCACCATATGCACCAATTGAACCCAAAAGTCTAAAGTAGACCCAAATATACAATTTAACAGATTAATCAGTGTACATAAACATATCCACAGTACACCAAATGTACCTGCAAGTAACCAAAAAACCCTTCTGTATTAATTCTATACTACTGGATGGAAACTCACCTCAACCCCCAGTAGGACTCCCCGTCTTGAAACAAGCACCCCACACCTCCAGCAGCTCTTCACAGGAAGATCCCAGGTACCGGCTCCATCTGTGCTACATGCCTAGTGATGAAAGGTCCCTCCCTCTGGACCCAAGGCCTGCTTATCCCTTCTGACAGCAGATACCCTGAAATAGAGAAGGATTTAGACCGAGATCTCTGCACCTGTTGGAAACGGTAAGGAAGCTTCATCCCAGATCCAGTTTTGTACTAAACTCCCAAGATGTTCACATTGCAGCACCTGTTCGGGACAGACCAACAGAGAAACAACGTAGAGAGCAGAGAAAACCCCCAGTCCAGGGCTCTTTCCACAGGGAAAGGATCCAGTGAAGTTCCTGTCCTGTGAAGAGAGCAGTTCCCGTGCCGACACCCATCAAGAGAACCTGGCTGACGTGCAGTCTCCTCAGAGAGGCAACCAGTAAGGAGTCTGCAGTGGAGGAGGATGCTGGTGTGCAGGGTCACAGTTCTAATGCAGTGTATCCAAATTCATTGACTTACATGTGTGCACCCATGAAATAAATCCCATACAACGCAGTAATTCAGACTTGGAGCCAGAATGACAGCCAGTCCAGTGCACGACAGCTTCAACCAAGCAGGAAACAAACCCAGAAGAAAGCCAAAAAGAAAATGTTTAACTCATTAAACTATGTAAACCGCCAGAAGATATCCCAGAGCTTAACACTTGGCCTACTCCAAAAGTGCCTTTTCATCCTTCAGAAAAGTTCTTACACAAATAAGAATTAAAGGGGTCACAGAGTGATATAGAGTGTAGGTTAAGGAAAAATCAAAGATGGGGGTTAGAGTGAAACCCACCTCTGCTCCAGGGACCGTGTCCTTCTCAACACTACCCTTGCACCTGCTTCAAGATCCATGGGCACCCAGGAAACTTAAGGACAGCTTGCAGCAACCCGTCACTCCACACTGTGCATTTAGATGGCCAGGGACTGGGGAGCACCAATCACTGTACTACAATCTAATACACAATCCGCACCACTGCTGGCTGGCCTCACTGAAAGAACTCAACTTGCACCTCCTCTCTACTCCCCTTCAAACTCACCTTTACCTGGGCCACAAGAGCAATAATTGGATCAGCATTGAAGATGCAGATTATGGTCCAAGAACTTTAGGATTACTGACCAGTAATTTCCACCTTATCCAGAAGCTCAGTTTGACCAGATGGATCACCTTGCCTTTTTCAGGACAGAACTAGCCTCCTTTTCTCAGAGCTGGGACACAGCAGACCTCCAGGGGACCTCTGGGTCCTGTTGCAATATTAACAGTTGTCAACAGCCTTCTGGAATTCACATGCAGCACCAAACAAACTATTAATCCAGCAAGTTCAAATTGACATTCAGTGCATCCATCTCAAAACAGATGGACTCGACTCCACCCCAATCCTGACTGATCCTAACCTTAAACACTGGCCTTCCCCGACATTCGCTTGCAAGCTTCCCCAGGCAAGAGATTAGAATTCAATTTAGCTTTGCCCTACCCAACAAATACTCAGATCTTTAGGTCAATTTACAGAAGTTTAACATTCCTAAAGCAAAGGAAAAAGACTTCTACTACCCACACTTTTACAAAAGCAGTAACAAGTTTACAGTACAGAAAATTAACAGAGCAATTTTGCAAAGTTGTATAACCCATCAAATAGTGGTGGACATCAATGCATTTTTCAAGGCCTCAAGGCCCACCTAAAACATAGATTAAATTTACATCTGGGTTTTTTTTTACATAAAGAACATCAAGTTCCTCCCCCGCCAAAAAAAACAAATTAGGTTCCACACCAGTACAAAACCATCTTCAGTACTTAGCCGCAGCCTTGACTGGAGCTCCATAACAGGGGAAAGGCCTGAGTTTTAATATTAAAAAGTCAGGCACAAACAGCACTCAAAACCCATCGCTGGGCCACAGTACATGGATTTTACCCTTCCAGCCACATCCTGCTTTCTACCATCGGGGAGATAACATATACAGAACAAACCACTGGTAAAACAAAGCTTCACATTCCCTAATCGACTCCTTCAAATTAGTTCCAAAAAGGTGAACCAAACAGAATGGTTTATTACCACAGTGTCCTGTATGGTCACAGGTCAATATATAGGAGACAAAGGAAAAATCAGCAGCACTAAACAGGTTTTAACATGAGCACAAAATCTTCTAGCAAAAGATGACAATGTCCATACTCTCTCCCTTCTCACCGGCAGTCTTCATGCAGCTCTCTCCCTCACAAGGCACAGTACACAATCACTTCCAGTCAGCTGGAAACTCATCCCTCCCCTTTCTGCACTAAACCTCTGACAGTATGGCTTTTAGTGCAGGAAATGGGGAAAAATACAGCCTCACTGGACTTAAAATCAGGAAGTCCACCTTACACTAGACTGGAGCATAGGGTTCCCCATTCTTAAATTGGATTCAGTTCAAAATCTCAATGTAAGATTTAGTTACATGTGTGCACCCATGAAATAAATCTTACATACTGCCAATCTCTATTTTCCACTGGTACCATTAGCAAAATCATTTAGCCAAATCTTTCCCCATGCTCACAACACTTTCAGTATTGGACTTCCATTCCTGATTTACCACTTAATTTAAGCTAGAAAACCCAACAAAGAACCAGCAGCTACAACTAAACAATGGCTTTAAAATCAGGGTCCCCTCCTGCCTGGAACAGTCAGCTATGGCTCAACCAGCCAGGTGGCTTAGGTGCTCCTAGAAACAACCATCCCAAGGCTGGTGAGCAGAGTGGCAGTCAAAACAGAGAGCCGCTCCTACCTTTGAAGGAGGATCAAGCAATGTCAAATCCAGAGCTGCCCCACACAGTCACCCCGGTCTCTACTCCTGGGTGGTAGAGAACTCACTGAGCAGCTCTGACAGGGTCCCCTGACACGGCTGTTGTCTTGATTTAGAAACCAAGAACTCAAGCAGACTTCGACAGAAGAGAAAGCACCCAGTCCACAGTGTGCCACATCTGCACATTCCTGGCAAATACAGGTCATCCCTTTGGGGAATAAAGGCCAGGTCAACCCCTCTGACAGCAGAGAGATTTACATTTGGTCCTTAAAAGCAATAAGAATGGTTACTCCCAGCTCCAGTTTTGTACTATACATGTCAGTGCAGCAACCAAAAGTCAAGAGAAAAAAAAAAACCTACACCTCAAATTAAACCAACATCCAAACATGATAGAAACCAACACTAGGCCATTTCTTAAGGGTAAAAAGAAGCACTTCATTAATACTCACATACTGGTTATAAAAAGCAACATGTATATGGAAAATTAATCTTTAACCTACTCCACACAAAAGATGGAATACAAGAGTGAAACTCACCTCTGCCCCAGGAAGTGTCCTAGACACTACCTTTGCAACTGCTCCAGATCCATGGGCATCCAGAAAGTTCAAGCACCTCTTTACTTTCCACTGTTAAAACCACAGAACTTCAATACTTACAGGTACACATCAACAGGTCACACAGTGGGTATCCTTTTAGCCAGCCAGTGAGCTACCTCTGAACAGTTCTCCAAGCCCGTCACTCCACACTGTGCATTCAGATGGCCAGGAACTGGGGAGCTCTGAGCATTGCAGTGTAGTTTAACTCGCAGACACAAACAGAACCACTGCTGACCAGCCTTATAAAAAGCCGTTCTGTGCACAGAAGCCCAAGGTTTCCACACAGTTCCAACAAGATCCGAGCTAGAAACTCCACCAGCATCCTCTCTCAAGTGAACGTATTCATTGTCACCATCTGGCTCTCAGAACAGCACCTGAAGGAGACAAGATTAGCAAAACACTGATGGCCACCCCACTGCCACAGAGAGGGGACCAGAACAAGTGCCATGCAGACTTCTCCCAGCCTTAAAAGCTCACCTCACACGGACCTGCATCTCCTCTCTACTTACCTTCAGCTCACCTTGTTCACTGAGGGAAGGCCAAGACCACAAGCAGCAGCAGCAGTTTTCTATAGTCCAGCAGAGACAAAAGCACCAGCATGTTAGACAGAGAAGGGTCTTCCCTGATGTCCCAGTGAAACTGTCAGGTCAGGATATAAAGCCTTTCTTGTTGCTGGTTTGAGCTCTAGAGAAGAGAATACAATGTTTACCAACAAAAGTTTCATATACTAAAATGAAGTGTATAAAAGTTGGAAAACTAAAAACTATCTAAACCAAAAGCAAACAAACTTCACACTAATTAACTTCACCCCAAACTCTCAAGCATTGACACGTCTTAAAGTTCTTAAAAACACATCTATGAAAAGCTTTACAATTCCTCAACAACTCTTGGTTAAAAAAAGTAAAGCAAAATCACTAACCTTAAACAGTAATGACACTAAAAACTAACACCAACCAGTCAAACTACACAAAGACTCAAACACTCTTTCGTTTGCTGTAGTAAAAGAAATCCGCCCTCCTGGGCTGCCTTGTATAATGACCTCACAGCTGTGGCTAATTTACCAGGAGCCAATCCCAGTGTCTCCTCAAAGGCCCACTACCAAACCCCCACCGCTTCTAATGCAACACACACCTGCTTCCAATGACCAAACAAGCATTAGCCAGCTAACCTATTGATCTCTCCATCCCAAAGCCAAGTTAATTTCCAAATTACTACCAAAAACACTCGTTAAATAGCACCCTGCTCCTGTTATTCAATTAGCTGGAGTTTCTTAGTGATTAAACCACCTTTTTTCCCTTCAATTTAACTCATAAATGGTGAAAAGTGACTTGAAGCCAAACTGCAAATTATTCAAGATCCTTAAAGAGTCCTTTACATAATTCCAAATGTTCAAAGTGTATATATATATATCCATACTGTATGTCACATATATAAACACAACACAGTTCGTTGTGTAACCAAACATAACTGCAACCTTGTCATTAACTTTTATTTGGTCAAAACAATCACTAATCACAAGAAAAAAAATACAAAATCACAAAAAATGACACTCCTACACTCCTGAAAAAATAAAAACAGTTAATTTATATGACAAATGAACATGGTGGAAGTACAATAAGTAATGGTTGGGCTCTTAAATGTCACATTTATATCTGCAGATGCCTAGAAACACATCTCTCCTACATATGTGTGTGTTTACAAGGCTGTTTTTTTATTCAGGTCAGTTTATTTCTTATATACACAAGTGCAATTAAATCCTTATTCACATGTTTGCTCCGATAAAAAGACATTAAGGAACACCCCTTTTAACTGTGCATTAAACCTGTTTCACAGCCACTACAACTGTCACCTGTGGATGCTTTGCTCCTCTGTTTTTGCTACATTCCATGGGGGAGGTGCCAGCCCTGCTCAGGGTATAAAACAGAGGACTCCCTTTACTCCCGTTTCCATTCAATGGTTCAAAAGAGGGGTGAGTATTGGTTGCTCTGTTGAGTAGAATGTGTTCTTGAGGTTTGCTGTAATTTTACAGGGCTGAACTATTTGGCCTTTTATTCTGGGGTTAAAGGGGACGACCACTCCTGGACTGGAGCAGCAACCGTTTGTATTGTTGCTAAATATTGATTTTAATGAGTTTTTACAAGAGTGTTTCATCAAACCCTTGATTGTGACCATTTACTTTGCATTCCTATAATAATTATATTTCATAGTTAAAATCTAACTAGTATATGTTTCTTGATTACCTGGTAGAAAGCAGCTAAGCTGCATGAAGCCATTTCTGGTGGAATAATTGATATTTTTGGTGGATACCTGCATCAGCATGCTTAGTCTGCAAAGGAACAAGTAATAAAACTCTTGGATAAGTTCACTTGTAGTAACTTGTAGTTGTAGTAAACTGACTGGTGTGCAGGTCACCAAGACTTGGAACTGCTGCTCTAGAGCATAGATACCCAATCTTGACCCGACAAACTTACTCTTCAGGTTTCCCATGTTTTTAAAGAATTGGCACCTAAAGAGCAGTGTTAACCAGAGCTGTTTAAAACCCTTGTCCTTCATTTCCCAGCTGCAATGAACCTGGATTTGGGAAGGAGGACCCCTGTGAAGCGTGCTCTGGAGAACAGGAGGTGCTGTACTGCCATTGTGAGAGTCTCAAACAGTGCTTAACCATGTCACAGAGGCAGACGCCCTGGGTTCTTTCGATAAAGGGCTGGGTAATATGCTTATGTGATAAACTACTTACAGCTCAAAAGCTATATAACCAAAATAACAGTTATTTTCCTTAATTAGATTGTGTAAACAACCATAAAATACAGATATAGGTGTACCTCTACCCTTGAGAAAGATGGACTATGACTTTGAATACTAAACTTCAAATGGCCCATCAATAGTATCAATTTTCCTTACCTAATTAACAGCATCAAACCCTGGGAGGTGGTTCGTCTTCAGTGCTTCTACCTGTCATTTTTGCAAAACGTGATGCAGAGCTTTCTTCCTGGTGCACACTGTTCTTTAGTAACACTTGCACGAAATGCTTCTCGTGTAGAGCATGGAAAAGGTGAGTAAATGTACAAGTTTCCCTTAATCACAGATTCAACTACACAGGTTATAACTATGTAAATACTGTTTACAACACATACTAGTTTGTGTCAAGTTTTGAACTATAATGGCATTTTAAGTGATTGATTCATCAATGGTGTAGTTTTTTTAATCCGTTACTATTGTCTTTTTTCCATAGGCAAGTGTACTATTCTAGGTTTATAAAAGTTATAAATCTTACCATCTTCACTTGGGTGCAACATGTAACACTGCAAGTGTTAATCCATGGGCACAGTACTGCAATTACACTGGGAGGGGGGGGAGTGGAGATGAATGCTGGACACGTTCCTACTGGAATAGTGCTCTATAGGCAATATTAAATTGATCTTCCAGTTTTAAGGCTCAGCAGTGGAAACCAATCTATTGTTCACTTTACAATTACCTTTCTTGTTCCTATACAACCAACAAATGTGGAGAGCTTCCTCCTCAAGCACTTACTAGTTTAAAACATGCATTTGTAGCTGCTGTGGTACTAGTAATACATACCTACTACCTGCAACTACAACCAGCATGTGGTGGCAGTGCCAGATGAGAGATAAAATGTCACAAGTACAAGTTCACACCCATGTCTTCTCAGGATATAATCCAGAGTTTAACAGTCTGCCTATGCATTCTACAAGCCATCAGTCCTTTAAAATGGTAACCATATCATTGGTTAAATGTTTGTTTTGTTTATACAGTAAACTGACTGTTTTAGAAATGAAGCTTTTCCATTGCCTTTCCAGTCTGACCTTACCAGAATCTCACTACTCTTTACAAAATACGCAAGGTGGCCAAGATCAGTATTGTCTTCTGGATATGTAACAATTTCACATGTGCACCTCAATGCAGGCTGACATCGATAAGGAGGAACTGAGACCCAGGACAAATAGAGGGGAAATGGTTTTGCTCAGAACGTTCATAACTAGACAAACCTATCAAGTTTAAGTTGTTTTCTGATAACTTAAGATTTTGCACCATTAAATTTCAAAATGTTAGATGCAAGTACAGTAGGTTGTCTTTTTTTTTTTTAGAGAGAAGTAATGTATATTATACATTTTTAAACACAATGAAAGAGTGATTTTGCATTAAAGCTTAATTAAAAATATTATGTGCGATAGCCAATGTAAAAAGCAAACAAAATATACAAAAGTGGATGAATGTAGAAATTCAGGTACAACAGAGTTCCTCACGTCTTCAAGCCTGGGCTCAATTGCAACATCACTCTACACTGAATCTCCTGTTCCAGTCTGCTCTTTGTCCCGACCTTCACGCTGCAGTATGGCTCCCAGTTCCAAACCTGCACACCAGTCTGCGCCAGGGTTCCTGGCCTACGCCCTGGAGCTCTGGCCTCTTTGCTGCTGGTTCTCCTGCCTGAGTTTCCAATCTACTTCAGGAGGCAGCCTTCATCCTCTAGGACCCCAGGGCTCTTCTAGTGCAGGCACATTTCATTCTTACGTCAATGTAAACCATCCAATAAAATTAGCAGGTCTCAACCACCAGACTCACAAATAAACCAGAATGAACAGTGGAAGAAGAGTATTGAGTGAGCTATCATGATCCTCACTGCCTACTCAACCAAAAGACAAATCTCTTAATGAGCACTAGGACTGGCTAAAGAAATTACTGTCGTTAATAAGGTCCCAATTATAATTGCTAGAGTTGGACTATGCAGAAAGTGATAAAAATTGAAGTGATTGTCCAAAGTTTGATGAGCCACAGGCTTCACTTCTGCTCAAAGTGACTGGGGAGAGACTGTACTGAGAACCCTGGGCAGTAAGTGTGGTTTTAGAGCAAAGCCATGAAAATACAACTGGATCAGTGGGAGGAAATGAAAGGGCTCTTTCACACAGCCCTCTGGATTAATTCTCCCCATCAAGACTTTTCAGCGGCAGCCCCTCACAGCAGGGGAATACTTTTTCTGACCCCCTTTAACAACAGGGGGTACAGTTTTCATTTGCCTCAACCTGCTTCCAGTGGCCTTCAGTTCAATTCAATTTATATTTATATAGCACCTGTCACAACAAGGTTGCCCCAAGGTGCTTAACAACGCAAGTAACCAGACATTGTGTGATTACAGAACAGAAGACAACGGAGGAGAGGAACCAAAAACTCCTTGGTAAGGAGGAAAAAAAACTCTAGGATGGGCATGCTAACATTATATAATTTTAAAAAAGGAAATAAATTAATGAGGGTATTAATCCATGTCTTCTATGTGTCAATACTCCATGCAGATCTCTGTAAACCAGTAAATTCCTCCTAAATGATAGCTATATATCCGTGATGTCCCTCGTGTTTCGATGGCGGTGATGCAGCATCCAACAGCCGGGCGCCATCTGGACAGGTGGGGAGGAGAATAGTGACTAGCCCTGAAACTATTCAACATGTATTTTGGTTATGTCACAGGGTAAAACCTGTCTGCACTGAGTTTCAAACCTATATTAAAATAGAGACCAATATTGATACTTGTTCAATTCCAGCCCCATCGTAAATGATACAAAACTATCCTTTGTAATGAACTTTATTAGGAGGTCACGTTATCATGTACACCAAATGAAGTGGTCTGGGAAGAATCCTGTGTCTGAGCACTTTAAAATGGATGTAAAGGAGAATCTGCAGACTATTTCAAATTGTAAAAATATGAAACTGGTGTAGACAATATTTATTTAATTTGTTAAAACTTTTTTCAAAATTTGTATTTTGTAACATGTACCCCTGACGCTGCTTTGTCATGAAATGTACTCTTATTTGTATTGTATTCTTGATTGTTATAAAGGCTTACATAATTTAATAAACTATTAATTAATAAATTTTAAAAAATAAAAACTATTACATGAATATTCTGTTCAAAACTTTAAAAGGTGAAATTTTGCTTTATGGCCACCAAGTGGCGCCATTGGCCCAT